GATTTCGATAGGGACTGTTAACCTTTTGAGAATTCTTCTCCAGTGCTGCAAAGAGAATGTGCATGCTAGGGGAATCACTTTTCTTCCCTGCTTTTGCAACACTTCCCTCTCCTTTATTTTTGGCTTTGATGTGCTTGGATAAATCTGTGCTTACCTTTCTATCACAGGTTTGAAGAGAGATAATAATAGGCAACAGGGCTAGGAGTGTGCCCAGCTCAACCTTAGAAGGAAGAGATGTTTTAAGTCCGTGAGGATGATTTATTATTACAGGTTTAGCTCATGTGATTGTTGGGTGCAGTTGTTTTTTTGTTTTTTATTTTTTGTTTTAACATCAATGATACCTCTTGGAGTCAGTTTTTTATGCAGCTAAAGAGATTGGAATAGATTGTCACTGAGCCCCGAGGGGGAAGCGCCTTGGTGTCTCCACCCTCACCTGCAAAGCAGCCTGCAACATATTTCCTGTATCCACTTCTTTCACTCCTTACCCTGATGCCTCAGTAACAAAAGGACAGCCTTTCTCCTGCATCCGTCTCCCTCTTTGAAAAGCCAAGTGAAAAGTATATCTCCTGAAAGGGCCATGAGGCCACTTCCCAGCTTTGCCTTTTGTTAGCCTTGTCAGGGACCACGCAGGCTCTGAAAGGCTAATGTAATTACTTTCCCTTGTCTAAGAAGAGTGGAAGTGAGAGCGCTCCCAAGCCCACGGCTGCAAAGCTAGCTGTGGTTTCAGCAGGCGTGTTGCTCTGTTCAAAACAGACATGCAGCTCAGAGGCATGCAGCAACGGGTCATTTGTTGTAGGCTTTTCGCCTATTAGTTAATCATGTCCTCTGCTCTGTAGATATTTCCTGGGCCTGTGGGGGGATTGAGCCCTTGAATGGGAGCAGGAGGAACTGAATGGGTGAGTGATACTGGAAGCTGAAAGCAGACCATTGCCCTCTAGTTGTAGTTGAAGTTCGCAACTTCCCTGTTGATTTTTTTAGTGTGTGGAGTAAATGACAAATGGGCTGGCCTCCCTCAGCCTGGAGCACTTAAGCAGGCGAGTGGAGAGCTCATATGGAAAATATTTCTATCACCGCTGCATGCGCATATGGTCTGGGGAGACCCCCAAACTGAGCAAATCACAGCGCTCCAGCAGCTCCTCAGTGGCGTGCCAATTACTCCTGTTAACAGCAAGCAAAGGGCAGGCTTTAGTTACCTACACGTAGCTGGCTCGTGGGGAAGGCCACTCTGGAATGTGTGTGCCCTGAGCCTTGTGTCACATGCAGGGTGGCAAAAGGCTCTGCTTCACCTGACAGTCAGCAAAGGAGATGAAAAATGAAAGGGATTATACAGGCTCCCCCGAATCTTGGCACTTTTCAGACAGCGCTGGGCATTTGAGAAAGGAAGGCAGAGGTTTCGTCTTAGGAATTAAAAGTGTGTGTGCTTAACATGAATGGACAGCAAACCCGATCGGAGGTGGTGAGATGCCTGCCCTCCTGCCCCTTTGTTCCACTCTGCTTTGCCAAATAAAGGTCCTCTTGGGCCGCCGCCTCTTTTCTTTCTTGCTTTCCCTCTTTCCCCCGTGTGTGTGTGTGAGTGCGTGTGTGTTTCTGTGCTGTTGGCTCCAGAATGCCTGAGCTCCTAGGAAATTGTACAATTAGGATTCCTTTCCCCCTGTTGGAAATGAAAGGATGAGGAAGAAACATGGGTATGAGTCGCCCCCACCCCTTCCTTAAAAAGAATGTAGTTTATATAGAGCTTTGAAGAATGTGGCATTTATTTATAAAGCCTCTTTTTATTGTCGTGTTACTTACAAAAGTTACCCATAAACATGTGGCGTCGTCCCTAAGTCACTAAGATTTTCCTTTTCTCTGCCAGCTGGTTTTCTTGCAGGTTTTAATTATCTTCCCTTTGGATGTTCCTAAAAACACATGAGGAAAAGGAAGAAAGAGGAAGAAAGCGTCATACACCTGGGGGTGCTTGGCGGGCTGTGTTCTCAACGTGGGGCTGGAAGCCAAGCGGCACACTCTGGGAAGCAGTTTACAGTCAGTTTTCTAGGGTGTGAGGTCCTTCCAGATAAGCAGGGGCTGGCAGGTGGTGGGAGGAGGGGTGGGATGCAAAGCAAGCCTTGTTTAGCATCCTGTGGCTGGCACTGTCGGCGCTGGTGACTGGTCCAAGGACAGAACAACCTGGTGTGGTGTCAGCGCTTGGGTTGGAGAACAGACACAGAAAGGAACTGTGCCTTTTAAAATTTTCCCATTGCCAGAGCGTTAAACTCAGAACACTGACATCATGAGAATGCCTTTGTCCTAGTCACGGTCAGGGTAGCAACCATGTACACTTGTATAGATGGGGTGCATCTCCGAAAAGACTGTAAGGGACTTTTAAAGTCAGGCTAGACTTTTGATACATTTCTCAGTGTGGGGAGTGTGCCAATGTGCACCTTCTATGCAGGATGCAGCAGAATGGTGGAGGAGGGGAGGTGGGAATGGGAGGCTTGCATTTTCTTTCTTGAACTTGGACTTACTTTCTCAGATAAGACCAATGAGACATTGTTCTATGTAGGGACAGGGATGGAGACACAACTAGAAATCTACTACCTTGCATATTTGGAATAACATGATAAATTCTGCAATGTGTGGTCAAAAAGATGTTCTTTAATTTTGATGCCACAATGTGGCAAAACCTATCAAAATAAAAACTAGATATTTTAGCTGCTAATGGATACAGACAGGGTTTCTTTCCATGGTGATGAAAGTGTCTTGGAATTAGGTAGTGGCGATGTTGCACAGTTGTGTGGCTATCCTAAAAATTACGGAACCATAACCTTTAAGAGATCAAATCTTATGGTATGTAAATTATGTCACCATTTTTTACATTAAAAATAAGTAATAAATATCTTTTGGACCCAGATTTTCCATTTCTAAGACTTTTTATCATATAGGTCTACTCTGAGTGTGTAAAATGTTCTAGAGCCTCTTGTCATAATTAGGCTGTTTCCAACCTACTGTCCTAGTGATATGGCGTGCCCTGCAGGTGTTCAGAAAGAGCGAGGTTGTTGTAGATGTGCAACGAAATGACCACCAGGATATGTTTTTAGGTAAGAAAAGCAAATTGAATGTGCAAAAAATGCTCCCATTGTGTAAAATATGTTAACACATTTGTCCATCCCCTCTGGAAGGACATAAAAGAGGGTCTGGGGAGGCAAACAGGAGAGAGGGTTACGTTCCACTACACACCCTTGATTGAATTGTGCTCAGTAAGCACACCTTATCTAGTAAACAAAAAAATAATAAATAAAATAAGCGGTATAATAGGTTACACCCTAGGAGCAGTTTGTACGCAGCACCTGCAGAGGTGCCTGTACACGAGTTAATAGCCATGGTGACAAATGTGCAGCTCAGTGATGTGATTCCCCAAGAACTAAAATGATGTTCTTTACATGGTTCATTCACTCACTGAACACCTTCTGATGGCCCCTCTGTTTTCTCCACTTTGTAGATGAGGATAGCAGTCGTAGCTACCTTAAGGGGTGGTTGGAAGGATGAAGTGCAAATAACATGGGTAGAGCTCTTAGCTATGTGTGTCAAGCACATAGTAAACAGTGGTTATTGACTACAATCGCCATTGCAAATGCTACCAAGTATATTAACTGTATGCTGAAAAAAGGTGAAAAAGACCAGATCTTTGTCTTTGATGAGCTTATACTCTAAAAGGGGCACAGAGTACAAAGGGTTAATGATCATGCAATAAGGAACGTCTCTTTAATTGCAAGAGCAGAGGCAAAGGAACAATGGAAAGCTACCTAAGAAAGCACAGAAAGATTAATGATGTCATATTTGAACTAACGCTTGAAGGGTTGTGTGTTGAGGGTCTTCAAGACAACCCCTAAGATTCAATGATCTGCAGTGATTCAGTGACTCAGCATACACAGCTATGATTTATTACAGTGAAAGTATACAAAGAAAATCAACAAAGGGAGAAGGTTCATGGGGTAAAGTCTGGGGGAAATGAGATAGAAGCACCCAAGGATTTTTACCCTAGAGAAGTCACGCAGGACCTACATACTTCCCCCCGCAATTAGTTATGACAACACGTGGGAAATGTTGGCAGCCACGAAGCTTGTTAGAGGCTCAGAGCCCAGCACCTTTATTGGGGCTGACCACATACAAACCCTCTGCCTGCCAGCTAACAAAATTCCACACTCCCACAAGGAAGCAGGTGTTCAGCACAGTCTGTACAGTAGAGGCGCAGCAAGCAAGCCACCCTTATCAGTTCTGGGAAGGATGGGAACCCTCCTCAAATCCAAGTTACCAGATGCCAGGCTAGAACGAGCCTTGTAAGCAGACCTTTTCACAGAGAGCAGTCAGTCCTGCTATCTGAACTCTTTTCTAATGGATAGGTTAGCATTTTAAGTGGGAAAAGAGGGGAGAGCATTCCAGGCAGACGGAAAACATCTGTAGAGCCCCAGAAATAAGAAAGGACATGGCGTGTTCTAGAATAATGCATAGTTCAGATCACAGAAGCATCTGTTGTGAGGGATGTGGCATGAAATTTGTCAGTGAGCTGAATCCTGAGAGCTGAAGTTTTTCTCTGTGCCTTTGTAAATTACCCAAATTCTAGATCTACAGTCAAGATTCTTTTAATGATGTCATTTAGGTCATCATTGCAGGACATTTTCTTCTTCATAAATTATTGAAATTATTTCCTAAGGAGTAAATCAAATTAAATAATGAATGGAGGGCTACTTTGTTTTTTGTTTGGTTTTTGTTTCTATTTTTTATTGAGATAGAATCTTGCCTTGTCACCAGGCTGGAGTGCAGTGGTGTGATCTCGGCTTACTGCAACCTCCGCCTCCCGGGTTTAAGCAATTCTCTGCCTCAGCCTCCTGAGTAGCTGGGAATATAGGCATATGCCACCACACCCAGCTAATTTTTGTATTTTTAGTAGAGACGGGGTTTCACCATCTTGGCCAAGCTGGTCTTGAACTCCTGACCTTGTGGGGAGGAGTAGGGCTGCTTCGTAAGCACCCTTTGTTTAAAAATCTAGTTGTCACTCTTCATTCCTAGAGTGTTATTTGTGGCAAATAGAAATGAAGGATCAATGTAATGACCTTAA